CAGTGTATTATTTGTTGAAACTGTACTTTCGATTTATGTGTGTGTGGCCAGCTCAGCCCACCAAGGGGCGGGGCGGGCTGGCATGTGGTGCTGGGGGATTGAACCGCAGTCCCTGTGCTTTGCTAAGCTTGTTCTAAGTAGGTGCTTTAGACCACTGAGCCATCTCACCAGACCCTACAAATTTCTACTTCATTTTTATGTAACTTTTAGATATAATTTATATACCATATAATTCACTGAAAGTATAATTCAATGGTTTCTAGTATACTTGTGGGGTTAAACAATTATTTACCACAATCTTTTATTGTATTTTATTTTACGGTGCCACAGTTCAAACTCAGGACCTTGAGCTTGCCAGACAGGTGCTTAAGCCACTGAGCTATCTCTCCTGCTCAGCACAACAATTTTAAAGCACTGTCACCATCTTCAAAATAAGTACCTCACCTGTCAGCTCCTCGTTTAATCTGTAGCTCTCCAGTCCTGGTCAATCTATATAGGCTACTTTATGCTGCTAACAATTTGCCTACTCTAAACGTTTCCTGTGAGCAGGATCATGTGCTGTGTGGTCTTTCCTGGCTGGCTTTTTTCACTCAGCATAATGTGCTCAAGGCTCACCCACCCACTTTGTTACATGAATCAGTGTGCCAGTCCTTTTTCTAACAGAATGAGCCTTTGTGTGGCTATACCACATTCTCTTTTCTCATTCATCAGCTGATGGACATTAGGTTGTTTTTATTTTTTTGGCTATTATAAATAATCATGTACAAGTTGTTTTGGAACACTTATTTTTCTTCATTATAAAGGAGTAAAAAAAAACTGCTTTAAGGGGGACACTGTAAGGTAACTGTATGCTGCACATTTTAAGGACTTTCCAGACTGCTCTTCCACAGCTCAGCACCACTTGCCATTCCCATCAGCTGGGAATGGTGGGGGATGCTTGCTCCTCACTCTTGTTACTATCTTTTTTTTTTTTATTTATCCGGAACCGGGGATTGAACTCAGGCCTTTACACTTGCAAGGCAAGTACTTATTCTAATGAGCCATCTCCCCAGCTTGTTACTGTCTCCGAGGTTTTCTGTCTTTGTGGTCTTTACTTGCACTTCTCTCATAACTTAATACTTTGAGCATCTTTTTATGAACTTATTAGTTACCAGTATATCTTCTTGGGACAAGTGGGTCTGGTTTTGGCTTTTTCCCCCAATCTTTCCTCAATTTCAAACTGAGTTGTCTTTTTGTTATTAAGTTGTGAGAATTCTTTACATTATAGAGGATCCTAAAATCCCTTATCAAATACATTATTTTTCCCATTCTATGGGTTTTTACTTTATTTTCTTAATAGCGTTCCCTGAAAGCACCAAAGTTTCACTTTTGATTAAGTCCAATGTACCTACTTTCTTTGGCTGTTTGTGATTTTGGTGGCACAGCTAAGGCAGCTTTGCAGAACATTTTCTCCTAAGATTATAACAGTACAGAACTACATAATCATTGATAATAGCTACAGGTAGAAATGGTTCAGATATCCAACAACTGATGAACGAACTCTCATTAGCTCTTAAACATACATTTAGGGCTATGATGCATTTTGAGTTGGTTTTCTTTGCAATACTGAGGAATGAAACCAGGGCCTCTAGCACGCTAGGCAGGAACTCTACCACTGAGCTACATTCCTAGCCCACTCTTCAATGATATTTCAGGCACTGTCTAGCTAAGCTGCTGGACAGCTGCTGCTTGGTAGAGTGCTGGCCCAGCATCCTGAGACTCTGGAGATGATCACACCCCCACACACACAGAAAAAGACTTCATAAATTTGAGAGGAAGTTTTAAAATCTCTTTCCTCAATATTGAGTATTCCCATTCTTAAATGTAGTATATGTGTGTGTGTGTGTGTGTGTGTGTGTGTGTGTGTGTGTTTCAGCCTGCTCTAGGGGCAGGGCTGGCGCAGCATGTGGTGCCACAGATCCAACCTTGGTCCCTGCGCTTTGCCTAAGCCTGCCAGCTATCTTGCCAGCCTTTAAATGTAGTATGTTGGGGCCGAGGAGATGGCTCAATGGAATAAGTGCTTTCCTGGCAAGCGCAAGGGC